TCATGTGATTCTCACGCTCTCTACTTTCTAGAATTATTATTGGCGAATGTTCTAGTTCTGACTAGATATAGGGTAGGTATATAAAAGAGGGGAATGTAATGTGTGGATAGATAGTGAGTAATTGAACTGCAGTCAGAGAGCACGAGAGACGTTACAGCGTTTGTTTAGCGCGATTGTTGAAGTTGAGTGTATCGGTAAAGTTATATTTGGAAAGAATAAACTAGTTTTATTAAGAAAGGAGTTGTGTCGCTTAAGTTTCGTCGGAACGAAGTTACGGAAAGTTAATTAACAAACGGAGACGTAGTTGAAGAAGAAGTAATAACCACGAGGTGGATTATTTCTTATAAATACGAAAGTACAACTGTGAAACATATATATGTGACAAAAATATTTACACCTCCACCCAATGAGTTACACCAAAGATTAAGCCGTTCATGTATCGATACATGTAACATATAGAAAAATATAAATATGAGCATCGATTCTTTAAGGTGTAATAATATCTAAATAAAAAAATAAAAAAAACAGAATTTCCTGTGAGGGAAGATCAGTATCAGCTGTAGTTTTGGATTGATAACAATAATATAAAATATCTCCAAGCCTAAAATGTTGCAGCCTGAAACGGTTTCCGCACGTACGTCAGGGATATTATTGTTACAAGTGACAATAACACAGTTACGGATCTATTTGGGAACATAGTTAATTTTCCCAGCAACAAGCCTACAAGCTTGATTTAAATAACTAAGCATTTGCACCAACAAATGTGTGCTTTAATAACTTCAAATCTTATGCGAAATACTTCTTTTGCAATTCAGATCCAAAATTTAACACCTATGCATATAAATGTAAAAAAAAAAAAGCGAAGCCAAATGATCACTAATTTTAAATATAGAAGTATCATTTTATTCTCATTTTGTACTATATTTATATATCGTAATATGTATAACTTAAAACTCCTTTTCAAATATTTTCATTATAGAATAAACTATTGACAAATATATACGCCAATGTTTATTTTTAAAATTACTTTGCACTAAGTCTAAGGAGTCGGAGTAACCAAAACCAGACAAATAAGAAAACCTACGTTATTCGTATGACAGCATTTAAAAGGTAATTCAAATGGTCACACATCCACACACACACATACTCGGCTGATTTTTTTTAATAATATTATAAATAAACTATAAGATAACACTGATGTTTAGAAAGTCACAAAAATGGTGAAACTTATAAATAAATTCTGTGTTCACAGTTTAAATTTAAAACAACAAAGTAGGAAAAATAATATGCTTTCGTTTTCAAACTGCTTTTGATCACCAGGAAGAGCGGAAGTGGCGGCAACTAGCCATAGCTTACATTATGATAAACGAATTATGTTAAATAAGTAATTCAGTCTCAGAAGAAAACGTAATTTAACTAGAAATATCTCCTTTATGAATTATTAATACAACTTTTTATGACGTAACTATGCAATATTATTACTCTTATTTTAAATGTCCATTTAGACCATAAACTTAAGATTTTGTAAAAACCTACGTCAGAGTCAGTTACGTACTTCACGTATAGTACTACTACTAGTACTGTATTAGAAGCAAAAGTGACGCTTTGAAAAGCGATATTAGCCCTCAAAGTAAATCATTCACAAAACAGATGATTGCACATTAACATTATGTTATATTAAAACATAAATAAAATAAATAACTGTTATACTATCGATAAACTTTCTCTTCTGGTATGGGATATTTCAGGCCCTTATTTTGAAAACACATCTTCGAACGATGGGGAAATCCGTCCTTCCTACATCACTTTCGAAAACATACATGGGTAAACATATTTGTTAATTTAGGTTTATACATACCTGTGTTAGAAACAGATTCGAGCCCACTTGATAAAATTCTCAATAGTATGTTCTACATGTCTTTCTACTCAACGAAAAGCAGTACCACTATTAAGCCTCACTATGCCTTAACAGTTTAGAAGTTAGCCATACTTTTAGTTTTAGTACATCTCAGTCAACAGGTCGCCCCTTTTCTTCCATAAATGGGCTTTTCCTTATAAGGAATATACGAACTCGTCTACTTACGATCACGTGAGTGGCGCCAGACAAATCAGCAAATATCAGGTGTATAGTACATAGGTTTTCTAAACCACTTTTACCCACACCTGGAGAACGTTAAAGCTATGTGAGTCACTGTATAGCAATACTGAGGTCTCTTACTATATCAGTTTTTCTGTAGGCAAACACATGTACACCCTTAAACACTAAAATCCACAGTACTTTAACCCTATTCATTTTTTTCGCCCAGCAATTTTGAACAGATATTTAGTTAATTAATATGTTATAAATTATATCTTTAGACTTACATAAGACAACCAATAACTACAACACAGTAAAGAGAATGATAATAACTAGGAGACTGACTTTCTTAAAATAAATGAAGTGTTACTTTTGCAATGCAAAGTCTCACTTCCTACACAAGTATTTCTTAATCGTTGCTGACATCTTTTTAATACACAGTACTGCAACCAAATTTTGAAATTCGTAATTACAACGGCCATACGATCATGACTAATTAAGAACAACATTTTTAACAAATTTGGCTATTGCCATATGACCTTATGACGTTTAACGGCGTCAAATTGCTGACTCAAATTCCACAGAGGTGTAGCTGTAAAATTGCGAAGTCATACAATGTAGCTGGCTCATGTTACCTTTTATATTCAATGACAATGTGATCAAAATTATAATTTGACACAAGTACATACTAATATGATTTTGATAAGTTTCAATAATCGTCGACATTTATCAAGCAAAACGCTCAGAATTTGATTCAAGAGTTTAACGCAAAGATACATGCTATCTACGCATAACTGTTCCAAAAATCAACTGATAGACTGGAAAGAAGGTAGCTGGTCAACAGCAACCACTACCAGCTCTTGAATTACTCTTGTCTGATCGAAAAGTGGGATTTCACAGTCTTCTTTACAGCGAACCAACAGCTTCAAAGTGCGGTAGGAGTTTTGAGGCAGAGGATTTCGAAGAACGAGTCTCGGATTGACAGACCATGCACATAGCAGATACTTCTTTGGTTTGGAATCCAATTACAAACTAGTGCCAGTTTAGAATAACAGTTAATAAACATTGTATTTAATTGGCTAAAAAATTGCCAAAATATATAACTGTACCACAAAAATAAAGAAAAACGTGAGCATTACTTTTTAGTGTGATAAAGTGCCACTGGTGCTACTTTTGCGTGCGGTATACCTGGACTTTTACACTATAAACAAAGCATATAAAGATGTTGAATAATAGCAGTCTACCTGGGATATTTACACTGCTAAATAATTTCTTAATGATGAATAATAGCAGTCTACCTGGGATATTGACACTGTTAAATAATTTATTAATGATGAATAATAGCAGTCTACCTGGGATATTTACACTGCTAAATAATTTATTAATGATCATTACATGATAAAAAAACAAACAACAAAAAATTGTGCTACATAATTATTTTTAATGACATACACTTCGTACCACATCCTTAACAAATTATTTACATTTAAATCCTTTAACGATATACACTTCGTATGTCATTTACAAATGCCACAAATATATCATCTGCATCTTTTCTTAGCACTTTCCAGCAAATGTGATCAAGGTGTGATTGAAAC